CTCTGCGGGTTCTCTTGCATATAGGAGAAAGCTGTGGAATTTTGGTTATAATCACAAGAAGTCTGATGTAATATGTGATACAGTAGATGCATGGAGCAATTCTCGTAGTGGGAAATTGCTTCTCAACTTGAAGCAGAGTTTATTTGGACATATGAATCGTACTGAAAGGATGTTGTTGATTGGTGGAAGTAAGCCCATTGTTTTTGGTGGGACATATCCAATAGATATGCCACTGGAAAGGAATGTGGAGGAAACTGTGAATAAATGTGATAAACATGTTTCTCCACAAACATTTGATATTGATGCGCCCTGCTTAGGTTTTGTGGAGCAGACGTTGTCTAGTGCATTGGTGGATAGCCAGAACACTGTTTTTAGGAGAAACAAAACTGTACAGCTTTGAGTTTGTCACCAGGATAAGAACATTCAGCTTCAACAAATTGTAATCTATACAAATGAAATTGTAAAGTAGTAAATTGAATAAAATTATCAAAATAACTTTGTTGCTGCTGTCGTCACAGAAAGAGAAGTCTTTACTAGTTGACATCATTTTATCATATGTTAATATCTTTGTTATGCCTATTTAATTTCCAGAAGATTTCCTGCATCTTATTTTGTTTAGAAATTGTACAACATGTAAATAATTCGAATTAAATCGTAGCATAATACAGAAGTTCAGAGGATGAGATGTTTGTATAAAGAATGCGCTTTTAATGTGTAAAGCTGTGTCATGTGGCTTTACAGCTGATTAGTGCTACAGTTTTGTCATCATGTCTTTCATGTAACAAGTACAAAGAAAGTGTGTTCTATGTCAAGGAAAGAAGAAAATACTCAGTTCTGAATTGTATTAAACTGTCAGCTGTTCACCTCACGAGAGATCAGATCTTGAGTATGTTCATAGCAGTTCCTTTTCTGGGTATGGGCGTAGTATTTGACTTTTTAGTACTTGCATTTTGCATTAATAGTATTAGTGTGTGTGTGGATGTCCCATAGTTTCACCATGTATAAGGCATGATCAGAAAGTGTTGATACTGAATCTGTGAATATTAAGCTACTGTACATACATAGGTTGTAAGGTTTATCTCCCTTGAAATAGACTTTCTAGTACATACAGACTTGATGCACTTTTCTGTCAGTGCTACAACACCTGAGATTCATTTCTTGAAACTACCAAAAGCTAGCTGCTTCATTGCATTATGTTCACTTCATAAAATCTTTTGCTTTTTATTTAAAAAAGTTTGGGAGCAGGGAACAGAAAAGAGTCATGTGTAGCGTTGTTTATTGAGTAGAGACGCTGACTCACGTAAGATGTGTTTTGGCTAAAAATTGTCCTACAAGCTCCACTGAGTGGGCAAGTGCGTCTTCTTTGCAGCTATGTATGAAGCAGTGGATCATGAATATGTTTAAGCACTTCTAAATATAAATCTTGGTTAATAATTTGACCTTGTAGAGTTTGTTCATGGTGCAGAGCACTCTGGTTTTTGAAGAACAGACTTGGTATTGCTTTGACTTCGATTTGCTCTTGATATTCATTTTTAGTTGTGACAATCGCTGCTTACTTTTGAATCATAACTTTAGACCTGTGATTCATTAACCGTTAAAGTATCTCTTAAGCATTAATACATAACTCCCTGTTATATCTCCAAATGCTGTTTGCATCAACTGAGAGGTTATAGTCGCAGTTTGTCCAAACATTTTACATTTTTATGGACACATGTTCCATATTCCTGAATATTGTTAAATCAGCATGTGGAAAAAGAATTCTCACTTTAAAGACTGATTGTGGACATGCAGTGACATGTCTCAGGATGTATTTGTTAGTAATGTCCTTATACAGTGGGATTTATTTGGTATGTGAATTCAGGCTTGATGCTTTCTGACCAGATTTCTTGTAATTAGTGTGTTGATGTAATGTAGGATAAAAGTTGTGCGTAACTGCATTGTTTATTTGACTGTAGGCTGACAGATCTCCCTAATGCTTTTAAATGATTATAAAACTGTTATCTAGCATTTATTCCAGTAATAGGTACCATATGAGGTTCATAGAAACAATCCAGACATTAATTGGTGCTTCCTTGAATAACCCAACTCATACTGAAGCTGCTGTTTTTAGTGGTTGGTTAATGAATAGATTACAGTTTTTATCAGAATAGGTTTAATGTGGTTGAAGTGATAAAATTGTTTTTTGTCTCTTCAAGTGATGTGTGTTGAAGTCCATGTACTTCGGAATATTAACATTGTTTGGGCCAAATCTGTTATGAAATTGTGGCTCCCATTTTAGGGACATGTGAAAGAAATAGTGTTTCCCTCCCACAAAGGTGTGTTATTAGGATTTGAATTTTTATAATTCATTATGAAGATAATTCATTGATACTGTTAGGAAAATAATCCTATGTACTGTAATTTAAAGGGTTAAGTATGCAGTAGTTGAAAGTGCGAAAGCATCCTGTCCCAAATAAATGCCAATTCGTTTGAACTGTTTGGCCTTGAGCTTTGTTGATAGTTATTACAAAGGCAAGCGTTATGGGGAATTGGCGTCTCCACATGGTAAATGGGTATTCGCTGTCACAGTACAGTTTTATACGTGGAATGAAAATAATTTCACCGGAATGATCTCCCGTTATGATCATACATTGAAGGAGGTTGTTGGTCATCTGCTGTACTAATAAACGTGTTCCGTTAATTAATCCTTCCGAAACGCTTAAATTACGAATCAACATGACAATAGCATTCTTACATAGTCACAAAGTATGTGGAGGCAATGATCGTAGTCTAGATAATTTTGTGCTGGTAAAACCGTTTTAGAATATCAAAAGTACTTATCTTATATAAGAATTATTACATTACATTACATTACATTACAGAGACGTATTTACGTCAGATTCTCCGGAACCGTGGTTTCACTGTCAACTTTTTAAACTATTAATGTTTGTGTGGAGACAGACTTCTGGCAGAAACGTATGGGGTGATTGTGCCTTATGCTAAGACCTGTATCTTGATTGTTTTGAGAATAACTGTCTCTGTGGTTTGTGGGTGTGTTTGGCAGGTTATGGGTTGCGTGACATTACCAGGATCCACTTCACAGATGACATTACAGGAGGAACCACCAACATCACAGTCAGAACCTTCTGTGGGAGTCAAATCTCCTATCAAACAAAAACAAAAAGAACAAGTATCAAAGCCTGCAGGAGGTACTCACAGCTGGTTAGGAGGAATCTGGAACAGATTTTCCCTCCGGCTATCAAATCAAATGAAGCTGCCTGATGATAAAAATCCATCAGTAAGTGTAAAGCAATGTGTGTAGGGTTTTTTAAAAACTGCTTTGAATTTCTTTTATTAAAATCTAAGTGATTAATTTCTTGATATGTTGTATTTCTACCCTACTTTGTTTTTATAGTTACTATGGAATTCTAATGCCATCCTCATCTTCCTTCTGATGCACTGCCTGTAAACTATTAAAACCAACTCTGAGGAGCAGATTTCTTCTTGATCAGTTAATGTCAGGAAGGTAGTTAAAAAGTTCTCTCTCTTTAATATAGAACTTTAAAATTCATTATCAAATGCACAACAGCTCACCACTGGACTCTGCATCACTTATTTATCTGTTTTTTATTTGTTAGTGTTATAATAATTTTATTCAACCATAATTTGAGAATATGTTATTTTATTGGTGAATAAACATTTGTGTTCTTTTAAATAACACCATGATTTCAAATTGTTCAATAAGCGGTGTGTACTTTTCATGTATCCATCATACCAGACTGACTTCATGGAACAGAGTTCTTGAGAAGCTAATAGTATGCTCAGCCCTTTGCAGTGTTAAAGTTTTTAGACTAATTTTTGTGATCAGTTTACCCAGTTTAACCAACAGCAGCTCATTTTGTACATGTTATTGAAAAAGTGAATGTTTGTTGTGTAATTAGCTCTTTCTTCCATCTACATCCCAAACAGCAGTAAGGATAAGAATAACAATGGTAGTCAAAAATCAAACATGGTGACAGTATATACAGGGCTATTCAAAAAAGATTGTCGGGGTTTTGTGAATTTTTGTGGGGCAATGCATTAAACATACGACTATTATTACACTGGTGGATGGAGAAACACTCAAAGTTTTGTCCTGTACCGCCCACCATCCAGTAGTTACGCGTTTGGCCGCCAGGCGTTTTGTACTCTCGAATATCATCAAAGTTGGTCCATTACCATTGTCCAGCGGCACTTCCACACGAAAGTTGGGAAGGATCCACCCTCTGACAATTTCATTCTCAGGTGGTATGCACAATTTGTGGAGATGGGGGTCCCTGTGTAAAGAAATAAGCAGTGGGCATCCCTCTGTGTCGAAAGCGAAAGTGGACCAGATCAGAGAAGCTTTCCAACGTAGCCCTAGAAAATCAACTGCGAGAGGCAGCAGGGAACTCAGCATACCGCAACCCACAGTTTGGCGTGTGTTACGGAAATGACTAAGAATGAAGCCATATTGCCTAATGCTGCTTCAAGCTTTAACACCTGATGACCACTGAATGGGGGCTTTCTGCACTGCACTGCAACAACTAATGGAAGAAGATGGCTTTTGTGACAGACTGATTTTTAGTGATGAAGCAACCTTTCATTTTTGCGGAAAAGTTAATAAACACAATGTTCGAGTTTGGGGGACGGAAAATCCCCATTGTTACGTTGAACATCAGCGTGACTCCCCCAAAGTGAATGTGTTCTGCGCTGTTTCGAAAATGAAGGTATATGGCACGTTTTTCTTCCCTGAACAGACAGTAATAGGACTGACGTATCTGGATATGGTCACTGAATGGCTGCTACATCAGCTGAATGAGTTCAGAGCTGATTTCATACTGCAAGAAGTTGGCGCCCCACCTCATTTCCATCGGGAAGTCACAGCATTTTTAAACCAGCACTTACTGCAGCGATGGATCGGAAGCAGGACTGATGTTGATCAGAAGCTCCTGTCTTGGCCAAATGCATGTAAAAAGCTTTGAGAGTTTTGCTACACAATAAAACAAGATTCGTATTCCTACCCCAATTGTACTACGTGTAGTGATTTTTTAAAACCCCAACAATCTTTTTGAATAGCCCTGTATTATGACACAAACAGTAGTAACAGTAATGTTTAAAAATTGACTGTGGTATTTAAGTTGTATTTTAATTTAACTAGAGCAACGCACTTAGAGCGCTTCCTCTAATCTGATATTTTACTTCTTTACGTCGCTGTTCAGAGGCCAACTGTTCTTGGTCAGTCAACTTTCTACGTCCAACTCCACCGTTGCAAATCTTCGTTTTAAAATCGATCATAAAGTCAGTTTTCATAATCGTAATATATCGAATGAGTAGTATGACTTGATTGAGTAGTATTATTAGTATCAGTTTACCTTGTTGGTGTTGGTACTTCAAATAGTTGATAACGTCTTCTTTCACTTTTCTTAATTTCTTAAACAGGTCTGATGTTTTAGTTCTTTATGTTGCTGTTCGGAGGCCAACTGTCGGTCAATCAAATCTTCATTTTCAAGAATGCGATGTGCTACTTCTGGAACAGTGATCATGCGACTGCCTTGGTGGTTGGTGATCTCGTCGTTGTGAAGCGTCATTTGTTTACTTGGCATTGTTGTGTTGGTATACACAACAATGCTGAGTAAACAAATGACGTAACATTGTTTGATGACGTAATTGTTTGGCGATGATAGATTGGATACGACGGGGAATCACGAATTTATATTAAGATTTGTAACTTTTAGAATGTTGACAGTCAGATACACCCAACAATTTATAAACATAGATCTATTTACAGCACAAGAATATTATGTAAAAATGGAGCAATTTTAAAAATGTAAAATCTCTGTAAATTGCATGTAATGTCTAAAATAATATATTGTAGAAGCCTGAATATGATACTTTATGCATCAGAAAGTGTACCTGCTATGTAAGAAATATAATAGTTGCGTGAATAGATGAAAATAAATGCTAATTATTGAATATAATACATAGTGGAATTTCTTCAATGTAAGTAAATTTTATGAAGCTCTTCATTATTCAGTTTTATCCTGTCATCTTGTCTGTCTTAGGTCCAAGTATTCTCCTTAGTACTCTGTTTGCAAACATCTTCAGTTTGTGGTATTATCTGGTGACAGACCAACTTTCACACCCCTACAAACACAGGCAGATTTATAGTTTTCTGTTTAAATGGGAAGACAATTCAAATCTTAAATTTGACGGTTTTATCATCCCCTTTGTGATGAAAAAACAAACTCTTTGTTAATGCCACTACATTATTGTAATTTATTGGTGTAATGTGGGATGTAAAGCCTTTTTGTAAAATGAGCTGAAATTTGTAAAGGAAGGACTTTTTTTCTGTTACAGATAGTGTGGGATCCAGATAAGAAAAGGTGGACAGATGTAAATGGAGATGGTGGTGAAGTAAGTGGTGACTTGCCACTACCACCTAAAACCTCAGAATTGCCCATAATGGCAAAGAGTATGTCAGTTTCAGGAGGTGAGGGACCTGCATCTAGATCATCTGGTTCAAATGTGTTCAAACTGAATGGACCAGGGAAAGGTAAAAAATACTTCTATGATCTAGCAGTTCAAGAGGCAGCACAATAAAGTATTACTGTAGAATCGGGTGCATGCAGGTTTGGAAATAGTTGTACAGTTTAACCCCTTATTTTCACTTTTCTTGGGAATTGATGAACATTTATGTAAATTTTGGGGATAGTGTGCATTGCACAAAATGCAAAAGTCATAAGCTAAATATGAATATTACTTTTCTCTTAATGAGAGTGCTCAGGAAATAAGGAAACTAAATTACTCAGTATTTTATGAAAATTGTTACAATATAAAATTCCCATGAACAGAAGATATACAATATCATGATACAAACACTTAACATTTTTGCACAGAATAAGCAATACATTTACTAATTTAAATATTTCTTCATTAACATGATGTTATTTGAGTATAATATTCAAAGTTGATACTGGTAATTTGGGTTGTTGAGTCCAAAGACTTGTAACTGTCCCATAGTACAGGAAACTCTCTGTTTATGAATGTTTGATTTATGAACATTCACTATAACGAACGTCACAATTCATTCAAAATTTCTTAAAGTCGCCAATAGATAGAGTTCCTTATAAAACTAAATGCCAAATGTATAGTGAACATAATTGTAAGATTTAAATAAATAAACTTTTAAAAAATGTATTTATTACAGTAATTATCAGAAAATTATTATATGATAATTAGTACATTTTTTTAATGCTTTAAAATGGCTGCTCACGTATACGATATGTATCGTAAAAGCTCAGGAATACAAGATACACATAATGAACAAACAACGTCTTGGAATGGAACTTCTTTGTAAACCGAGAGTTGCCTGTAGAGTTTTTCATGGAAATGGTTTTTCTTTCCTGTTGTGTTGCTGTTGTGCCTTATCAGACACACAGATTAAAATAAGACAATTGCATTGTCTGTGACTGCACAATATTGCAACTCTGAAGATCAATATTGTCTGTTGAAAATACATGCACACACATGCAGATACACACTCTTAAATATATACATAAATTCATTATATTATCTGACATGCATCTGGACACATATGATATTAAGTGGTAACACTGTGTCCAGAAGAAGTCAAAATTTTTTGAAGCAGCGAACGGTTTTGTGTAATATAATGTGTGTGGAAAACGTTTGTTTCAGAAAATGATTTGAGTTATTTTATTATAAATAAGGAATATTATTTAAGTAGAAGATGATTGATTATGATATCATTACATGCTGTTCTGGTTGAGTAGTATAGTGCTGTTATTTTGTTTGTAGGAAGCAAGGCGAAGTATTTAGAGGTGTTGGAAGGAACTAAAACCTCCAATCTTGCACCAGATAATTATGCGCCAGTAATACCACCACAAGCATCGGTGAAGTATTTAATACCTGTCCCAGGTAAGTGGATCATGTTTCAAATTTTACTATAGGGACTTTTGGTTGGGGTATAGTATCTTCTGGACCTGTGTAGGGGCAGGTTAGAATACTTCCACCATAGCCCTGTGAGTCATAGAAGGCAACAAAAAGGGAACCCAGAGACCTGGTCCTCCAGGTTGGGAATTGGACGTAAGACTTACGACCTTACTCTGTGAAAAAACTTGCTGCGAAATTAAAAGAAGTGAAAACCGGGTGGTCTAGCTCATGATGACCTGGCAGACTAAATAAGAACTTGAAACTGGAAAAGCATAGCCAGGAATAGACAAATGTGGCCGAATCTTCTAAGGAAGGCCATGGCTCAAAAAGGGTTGTTTTGCCAATGACGACAATGACATCATAATCTTCTGATATACTGTTTGAGTATTTGTGTACTTAACAAGACTTCAGCTGTGCAGGTTATGTAGAATTGAATGGTAGGATGATTTGTGAATGATGAATTGGGAAGGCTGTGAAAGGTGTAGTTATGGTATACCTTCAGCTAATGTCCTGGCATTTGCCTGGAGGGTTTGAGGAATAGTCTTCTGCTGCATTACCAACAGTTGGAAGTAAAATGTGTTTCTGTTTTTCTTCATAACTGATTTCTTAAATTATGTTCAGGCAGCTTGTGCTGCCCAGTTGTTAACTTGCTACATGAAGCATGCTATCTTCTTTCTCAAGAACATAGAAATGCAGTGGTCAGTGTGAATTTGACTGTGTATTCAAACAA